TCGGGGCCGGTGGTGGAGGCCTGGCAGGTCGACTCGGCCAGCTGGTCGGCGAGCCTCTGGCGGTACTCGAGGATGGTGTTCTGCAGGGAGAGTAGGGATGAGGGGGCGAGGGGTTTGTCGAGCGCTGCATGCTTGGCGTCGTCGAGGAGGGATAGGGCCTCGTCGACGCGGTGCTCGGCGAGGAGGATCTCGAGGTTCTCGACGAGGGGGTTTGAGGAGGGGTCGGTGGTGATGGGGTTTGAGGGGGGTTCGAGGGGGTCGTCGGGCGAGTGGTGGTGGTGGTGGGGACCTTCGTGGAGGGACTCGATACGGACGCCGTCGGCGATGGTGTGGATGATGTTGGCGCGGGACGAGAGGAGGTTTTTGAGGGAGACGAGCTCGCCTTCCAAGTCCGACATTTCTCTTGATGTCCTGTGGAAAATATTTTTCTTTGATATGAAAGTTGTGCTTAAGGTTTCACTCTAATATTGTCTTTGAATGTAGCGTAGGTCTAACGATGACAGTGTTTCTTTGCGTAGATTCATGCCATTTAACTGATTTAGTAAAAGAGAAATACTATAGGCACAAGAAAATTGTCAAATAATAAAATGTTTGTCATGAAAAAAATAATATATTATCAAAAACTTTATTGTGCACAATATTATTAGTTTGATGACTAGGCAACTCGTCGTTCTCAAAAGCTAATATTTTCAACTTCTTTCTATTACTTACACCCAAAACAACATAATATAATTGGCCATTACAAAAAATCGATCTTTAAGATCAGACCAACGTGCGATAAAGACTGACACTGGCTCTTACTTATAAAATGATTTTACATGGCAATTCTATAAATGAGTTATTTGTTTATCATTTTAATATCGATTATAATTGATTAGCGAAATAATTTTTATTTATATTTTTAGAAAAATGTTATATGTACATAACATTGTACATAGGGGTGTACATAACACTCACATTGAGTAGAACCCGCAAAAATAAAAAAGGGAAATGTTATATGTACATAATATTGTACATAAGGATGTACATAATACTCACATTGAATGGGATCTACCAAAAATAAAAAATCAAGTGGACCTCACTCCAAGTGAGTGTTATGTACACCTCTATGTACATTTATTATGTACATGTAGCATTTTCCGATAAAAAATCAAATGGACCCCACTCCATGTGAGTGTTATGTACACCTTAATCATTAATTATGTACTTGTACCATTTTTCATAATTTTATATTTTTTTATCATTAATTTCTTAAACCTTAATCAACCTCTTCACTTTCAGGTTGAGTTTACATCAGGCTAACTAAAAGCCCTATGTCGACCTGTTACTCTAGTTGCTTCTACTTCGGAGGTCATCACCGACTTGGTACTCTATACCTCTAGTCTCCTTATTGTCTGACCTCAAGTCGACCGACTGGTCCACTTGAACCACTTAGATTGTTGTTAGGTCGAACACAACCTAACGGGTTGTATATTATCCTATATCAAATAGGACAGTTTATTCTTCTAACTAGCTGAACATAATGTCAGTGCACACCAGCTATGAGAAGTATGTGACGAGAAAACATTAGGACAAATGTTAAAGGGTGGGTTTGGATATGAATTTGATTTGGTTTTGATTGGGTTTTTTATTAACCATAGTTAATTTAAAAAAAAAATCGTATGGTTAGTTGTTAGTGTGATTTTAAATTTATATTAAATAAAATAGTTAAAGTTGATTTGATGTAAAAGTAAGAGAGATGTAATGTGACGTGATAGTTAGTTAAAATTATGATAGTACTGAATGAATAATGAATTAAAGTTGACGTGATTTGCAAAAATGATTAATTGATATTATTTAATTATATCAATAACATTCAGGATAGTAGGATTAAGGTAAAATTGAGTTAAGGAAATGATTGAGTTAATGATTGATTTTTTTGGAATGGATCCATATCCAATCACATGGTTGAATTCATCCTATCCATGGGGTAGTGCTCTCATGGGGGTTTTTATCCACATATTTTACATGAGAAAATTACATAGTCTACTAAACAATTCCATCTTTACTGCACATTTACAACCCTTATATATTTATTAGCAAAGTAATTAAAATTATTATACTTATTTGCATATATACTAAGATTTGGATATTCCAATCTCACGTTTCTCGCTTGTTTTTCCTTGATTTCAGACCGAGAGAGAGAGGAGAGAGAGAGGGGAAGAGAGGTTTCTTATTTGCTCACAGACCTATAAAATTTTCATATTTTTTTGCCTTTTAATCCCTCTTCCCTACATTCGTTCATTGTTGGAAGGGTTATCGATTGCTCTTACCTGATTTCTAATTGTGGGCTTTTGTCATTCTTTTGGTGGTTGACGAGCGAGTTGCAGAGAAGGTGAAAGAGGAAAAAATGAGAGATTTTTACATTATATTTATATATATATATATATATATATATATATATATATATATATATATATCAGTGTTTTAAATAGCGGAATTTCGCGCGCTACGAAGCGCGCTATAGCGCAATTTTACCCAAAAACGCGACATAGCTTATATAATTTTGCGCAGTTCCAGAAAAGCGTACGCAATTTACGCTATATTTTGCGCTATTTACGCAATTTACGCTATATTTTACGCTATTTACGCATTTTACGCTATTTCTCACGCTATTTGGGTAATTCTTATTTATACGCAAAAAATAAAATACAAAAGAAATGTAGGACACAAAATTGAGTAATTTTTCCCATGGCGAATTTGAGTGATTATTAAATCATGTTTCGTATTTCTCTTGAAAAAAAAATTATTTAAAAAATTGATATCATCATATCTAAGATTGATCTTTTGGACTATTAGAATCATGAGATCTTTATATTTGTTAAACTCAAAAGTGAAATGAGAAGAACACTTCTTTTTTTTCTCCAAATAGCGAGGAGATACAAGAATTTGATGAAATTGTACTAATAATTTTTTATAGTGAAAATCTCTATAATTTTGATAGAATTGACGATGATAGCCAAATTCAATTGGATAACACCGATCATTTTAAGATTTTGAGTCTTTATTTTAAACATTAAGACTTTGGTTGTTTGAAGAATTAATATTTGAATGTTATTTTTTAGATTCAATGTCCAAGTTTATGGTTTAAGACCATTGTAATTATTTATTCGCTTGTATGGTTATATATTATTATTTTTAGCATTAAAAAACAATTGCTCGAATAGCTTACGCAATGCGCTACGCTATTTACGCTACGCAATTTAAAACACTAATATATATATAAAGAGAGATCTTTGTTTTTTGTCTGTTTGAAAGAATCTCCATTTGCGAGTTATGATTTTTGATTGCTGACTGGATTTGGTGAAGTAAAATGAATATGATGTGCCGGTTGAAGAGCATTGCTTCTGGTCGCTCGTGAAGTAAAATAAATCCAACTGGAATGAAATTCATGACATTTATAAACAACTCGACGCCTGGATCTGGAGTTATTTACAGTATATGTTTGGTATATGTTCGGTATACATATATAAATCCAGAAAATTAGAGTTATTTTCAGTATATGTTTTGTATATGTTCGGTATACATACATAAACCCCGAAAATTGTATATTTTCGTTATACATATGTTCGGCTGAATCTGGTGTTATTTTTTGGTATATATTCTGTATGAGTAATGCTATAGGTACATAATAATTTATATAGAGGTGTACATAACACTCACATTGAGTGGGTCCTACCAAAAATTAAAAATTAAGTGGACTCCACTCCATGTAAGTGTTATGTACACCTCTATGTACATTTATTATGTACTTGTAGCATTTTTCATTTTGTATACGTATATAAATCCCAAAAAAAATATATATATATATTTAATAAGTGATGACCTATTTTCTTCCAATTGAACTACTATAGGTGAGGTGCATGATTATAGGAAACTGAATCCCTTTATTAGCGGCCGGTTTCAATTCACCCCAAAATAAAGACATTCAAATCAATTTAGTACGTATGCGGCATGCTAATAAATTATAATACCTCGTAAAATTGCAATATATTAATATTCTTGTTGTAAGAGAAAAATTTCGCCTATTTCACATATACCCATGTGGGTATGTGTGATTGTGGGTAAATGTGTGGTTAAAAACCCACGAAGTAGGATTGAATCAGCCCACATCACATCTTATAAAACATGTGATTTCACCTCAGTAGGTGACACATGTTCATATGTATGTTAGAAAATTAATTATGACTTCTCTGGTGGGACTTTTTTCGTAAGCGTGTTGTGGTGCATAAGTTTCAGGAAAAAACATGGAAATTCATACACAACACATCTTATTGCTATGCGATTGACTTCAAATTAAATTTTGATTGGAAAATTCATGCTAGTGCTGTCTAGTGTCTAGGTTAAAACCGATTATTCGCTTTGTTTGAAAAAATAAAATAAAATTATAATAAACTGTTGTTAACTGTATATGGACTGGAAGTCTGAGTTGTTATNAAAAAAAGTAAATAAAAAAGAAAAAAAATCAACAGTCTCAGGAGATTTGAAAATTGAGTTTTTGACCGTTGAAAGGTGCAATATAATTTTATAAAATGGACTTTTTTATTTTTATTTTTTAGGACTGCTCATTGTACTATACAATGGACTTAAAGACTGCTCATTGTCTAATAACCATGTGATTTATTGTTTCTCTCTACTCTATATAATAGATATATATACACATCATGTAGTACTTTATCCGTTGGTCTTATAATAATTTTTTACATAGTTTATCTTAAACTCAAATAAACTATAGTTGCTCTGAAAGCAAAACCAAATTCTTCAAATTAGTTTTTACTTTATTAACTTTGTTATATTGGTTGTCATATCGTTAAATACTCTATTTCAAATCATAAATTATCTTTTTATGACAGAATAGGTACATATTATATGTTATTTATGTAATGTATATTCGTTCGTACTTATCTAAAGCATAGTATACACAGTAAATTATATGCATGAAAATTAACAAAAAATGGAATAAAATATATTGTTACATTGACATTTAAATTATTTTTCCCATCAATTGTCTACTAAATAAGCCGAAATTAATGCAAAAGAGAACCTAGGATCTGGATGAAAATAGTTTACACATAAAGTTTGAAGAAGAGTTTGTCATGCCACCTCACAGTATGATTTATTCTTCTAACCAACTGATTTGAAAAGGAAATGGACAATTAATATCTTTTTCCTATATAGATTGGGCCATAGCCTCATCATGGGCCTACAATAACCCAACATTAATATTTAGTTTTTACAGCGGGCCTGATGAAGCAGATGAATAAAATATGTGAGGCGTATGGGCAATCATTTGGGCCGGCAAAAGATATCTATCTACGTAAAAAAGTTTTGTTAATATCTTAAAAAAATTGTTGAATGT